CCACGTATATGCGTACCTATACAAGACAAGAATATCAGTGAAACAGATGAATGCTCCATGAAAACAACTTTATTGGACACAGAATTTAATCAAAGAGCAATAATTCTGTAATTAAGAAGTTGCAGGCCCTGAATTCACTTAGTATGACCAATGTAAACACCATGTAGACACGACATTTCTCCTTATTATGATCTATCTACAATTGAAATTTCATGTTGATACCTCTTAAAGCGTTTGTGATATTCTCCATAGAAAATTATAACCGACAAACGGACGACGAACGAACGGATCGGTTGTGATGTCTATTGTGATATTGTGATATCTATTGTAATGACTATTGTGATATCTATTGTGATGACTATTGTGATGTCTATTGTGATGACTATTGTGATGTCTATTGTGATGTCTATTGTGATGACTATTGTGATGTCTATTGTGATGACTATTGTGATGTCTATTGAGATGACTATTGTGATGTCTATTGTGATGACTGTTGTGATGACAATCGACTAGTTCGACATTATTTTTCCTGGTAACAAGTTCAATTGATAATAAAGCTAATTGAAGTCGGGCTTTCAGTAAAAGAAACGTGTGTCCCATATTTGAATACTTTGAAGAAACAGAAGCAAGAGAACATGTTGGTAATAGATAGTTACCCTTGAGGTGGAGTCTCCATGTAGTAGCTGGTGGCTACCTCGCTGAACAATATACCGGAGGATCGTTGATCCAGAACACCAATGGTAAAGCGGATGAAGGGGTTGGGTTGTCACGTGTCTTCCCCAAGGACACACGTTATCACAGTCCAATCTGTTGATGAACTTCCTGAAAAACACAAACGCCGTGGTAAGGTAGTGTCGAACTCCGCACCTCGGATCTTAGTCTAGCGTACTAATCGAATGAGCTTACCCTGTATCAATCACACTAGACGTCGACATTGTAGAATCTTCTTGACATAGAACCACTGGACGTTAAACTTTTGACGATAAGCTCTTTATCAACGCGGGAAAAGGAAGCTCTCCTTGATGAAGTCTTGATGTCTGTATTTCTTATCTGAAGAGAACCATTGGCAGTTTATAAAAAATTTGTTCGAAACCCAAAGCGTTACATTCACTATCACTCTCTGTACCCCTGGAACAATCCTCGATACTCCAGGGGTTATGGTCACTATCCCTCTCTGTACCCCTGGAACCATCCTCGATACTCAAGGGTTACGTTTACTATCCCTCTCTGTACTTCTGGAACCATCATCGATACTTCAGGGGTTACGATCACTATCCCTCTCTGTACACCTGGAACCATCCTCGATACTCAGGGGTTACGATCACTAGCCCTCTCTGTACTTCTGGAACCATCATCGATACTTCAGGGGTTACGATCACTATCCCTCTCTGTACACCTGGAACCATCCTCGATACTCAAGGGTTACGTTTACTATCCCTCTCTGTACTTCTGGAACCATCCTCGATACTTCAGGGGTTACGATCACTATCCCTCTCTGTACACCTGGAACCATCCTCGATACTCAGGGGTTACGATCACTATCCCTCTCTGTACTCCTGGAACCATCATCGATACTTCAGAGGTTACACGCACTATCGCTCTGTACAGAGAGCGAAAGTGATCGTCAACCTTGAAGGATGGTTCCGTTTCTAAGCAACAATAATCCCGTTCCCACGCAATTTTATCGTGACGTCCGTTTACTGCAATCGTAATATTATACTCTAGAAAAAATATTGCAAAACAGACTTAAGTTTTAACTCTGCTGGAGATAAGAAATTAGACACTTTGCTGTTAAAAAAAGAAAGTAAACATTTTTATTTAAACAACATTTTATTTTATATATTAACATTTAACACACACTTTTTATATGAACTCTTTTCTATAGATTTAACTGTGTTATCAATAATAACCTTTTTCATTACCAAAACTGAACTATGTATCTAGTTCACAGTAATACACAGGGAAATGGATTCGGATACCAATTCTAGTAACTTATTCAAAAAAGCTATGTCTCTTTGTAGTAACTCATAAGTGTCATACACACCAGGACACAAACATGAATGATACGGTGTATTTTATTGTAGGTAGTTCGCTATGGTAAGAATTTTTTTTAAAATGTGATAAACGGGATAATGTTTGAGATATCATAAAAGTCAGATAGGATATATCATTCTCGGTCCTCCATCGGCTGTCGAGCTTCTTGCAAAACAAACTCATTAAATGAACGAATGGAAGTAACTCTAGCAGTTCAGAATCAGGAGTCTGATTTGATCCCGTGTATATACATGTCGATAAAACCTGGCTCGTGGGGAGGAAGTATAAAGTGAACGCAGAAATTAATTCAAAGAAATTTACATTAAAATGAGATTTAAATTGATTTTCATTACGTAAAAAACAATTTAAAAGCATCGAAGAGCTTGTCATTTGAATGAGATAGATTTCAAGGAGGGACAGGAATGACCAGGATGGATCAAACAAAGGTACGAGATGTGACGAATATTTGTGTAAATAGAGAGCTTGGAGTAATGGTCAGCAAAGACTCCTATCATCGGTGACGGAAACGATTATTTACATTATTTCTATTGTACGTATATAAATTATAATGTCTCTTAATATTGTACGTATGTAAATTATAATGTCTCTTAATATTGTACGTATGTAAATTATAATGTCTCTTAATATTGTACGTATGTAAATTATAATGTATCTTAATATTGTACGTATGTAAATTATAATGTATCTTAATATTGTACGTATGTAAATTATAATGTATCTTAATATTGTACGTATGTAAATTATAATGTATCTTAATATTGTACGTATATAAATTATGTTTCTTATATTGTACATATATAAATTATAATGTATCTTAATATTGTACATTATACATTATAATGTATCTTAATATTGTACGTATATAAATTATAATGTCTCATAATATTGTACCTGTATAAATTATGATGTATCTTATTATTGTTAATATATAAATGTTTTATTGCGGGGAAAGTGCTTTATATAAGTTAAACAACTCCCGTTTCTATGTTAAGGCAATATTTTCCACTTTGTACATCACCATATCCCCATTGTAATCTAAATCTAATCTAAATGCCTTCGATCTTTTGGCATGAGAGCTTTTTTTTTCCAAGAAATGTGAACGGTGGTATAAATAAATGGCTGTGAAGTATATTGAAGCATATTCCGTGAAAAATACGTCCAAATCAAAGAAGAAATGTACGGAGGGCGAAATCCTAAAATTAATCGAGTTTCTGGTTGACATCTTCGTCATGTTTGTTGACAAGATCTGTCAACAGACTATTGGCATACTTATCAGAACAAACTGTGCCCCTCTCTCGGACGACTTGTTTAAAATGTATATATAAAAAAGGAATCAAAACAGCTCACAAACTGACCATGTCCATCATGTATGCCCACCAGAATACCAAGCACACGACATATTCTCCTATATCAGCTGCTTATCTCGATCTTTTCCTGCAACAAAACAAACATGGACAGTTTTTCACCAAGCTGTATGATAAATGTGATGATTGTGAATTTTCCATTTCTGGATAGCAATACCCCTGTATCCCCATCGTATGGTATTTACATACCTGTTCCCGTTACCACGATTTTCTTGCAAGAAGTCGTCAACTAATTGACAAACTCATAATGCAGGATTTCGATAGATGCAGGTTGAAAAAGGTAATTGGGAAGTTTTACAGTCGTCATGGTGACCTCATTAAAATATATTCTATTTCTTTGTGCATATGAAGCTGGGCATGTTTCATGTTCTTTGTTTCTCTATTGATTCGGGCGTTGAATAGCTTGTTCTCATTTAAGAATTTGACATTACTTACATGGATTTACCAAGGTTTATGTGTATGATGTCTTGGATGAAGCAGAAGACACTTACTCTTCTGGAACACCTGGTCTTGTTCTACATGTACTTTTTCACGAGTCTCTGTGTGAATCTTTCTTTTTTATGTTTTGCCTTATTAAATCTAATTTTGAATTTTTGATTCTATTCATAAATATATTTTGTTAGGAAGTGCATTAGGATTGGATAACATGAACAAAGATTTGTGAAAATAACATGTTACTACTTCAATATATAGATTGCCAACACTCTCTCACAATATAACAACCTTTGGTGATGTCAGAATGCAGATAATTGACATTTGATCCAATCATACTACTAACTAAATAGTATGTCCCTTGGCCTTCCTGGTTCTACAGAAGAAGCTGGTATAAGATTTTAGCAAAGTAAACCCATCAGACCTCAAAAGTCAAATATTTAATCAAAATTAAAACCCTTAGATCTAAACATGGAACTTGGCAAATATATATTTACAATGTGTAGATGTGTTTTTGTCAAATAGAAACTACCAGTAAGTAATATATTTGAGTATTTGTCTTGTGCCCTTTTATCCATCTATATCTTAAGGATTAAACAATTATATTAGTAGAGAGAAACTAAACTGTAGGTGAAGATATGAAATGTGTGTCAGAATGATCATATATATATTCCAGGTTTTGTTCTGACAGTTTAAACACTTTGTGAGTAACAAAGCTCAACACCGAGCTAAACAGAAAACATCTCCCTAAATTAATTAACAAAGTTCCATTAGCTGTAAACTTTAAGTGAATATCTGAATTGGAAATGTGATGGTTCTATAGATACAAATATATTTCATAATGAAAACTTATGCACTAAGAAAGATTAACTGTGTTAATTAACAAGGCCCAATTAACTGTGAAATATGTCTTATATTTTCATTGAATATATGTAGTAAGATGTACTTGGCTAATACATAATCATTATAAAAAAATTGAATTTAAAAATGTTAACACCATTGCAGTTGCCCCACCTAGCAGCTAAAGTAACACCTATACCTCACTTCAAGACTTACTAACCAAGTATTATTTGTAGAAACATATTTGTACAGTGAACATTGAACAGTTTGGTTATTAACAACAATATCAAAATATGTCAACACTTGATGAAAAGTATTTACAAATTTATTTACATAATAAATTTTCACAATTCATTTCAACTCCATTGTGCAGGAAAACAAACCAATGTTAAAATTTTACACACTATTTATTAATTTGAAGTGATAGCTTAGAAATTTTGTTTTCAATAATATCAATTCTTCTGCACACATCTTGTTTACCCATAAAATATGTCTGTCAAATATCTGTACCTGTAGTATGTCATAAAGAATTTCAATGATTGACAGACCATCCCGCACTCTGCTGTTTATCTCCCTTTTAAGGAGCTCTTCATATTGTGAGGTACACTTTATCTACATGTATGTAATTCTGTGGCTGTAAGGAACACAATCCATGACAAGGTCACACAAACCAATAACCTCAGTTGTATCTAATGATTAGGAGCACATTGTTGAATTAAAAAGGACAAGAAATAAAACAAATATATATGTATATATCACACAGTAAATGTTTAAGACCATGAAGAGATTGTAGTTTGTGTTCCTCAAATTTTGTTTGAAGTAATTTTCTAACAAAAATATTTTGTACATTTTCTTTCATTAAATCTCACTGTTTCAATAACATTTTGTTTTCAAACTATTAAAAAGGGTATTCATTGTGAGGCATAAGAGGAGTTTGTGATCTATTAATATTCATCAATTTTTCCATTTCTGTCAAAATCAATTTTAGCACAGGTATCCAATTCTCATGAATGTATTACCTATCATGATTCATTAGTCATACATGGTCAGTCAGAATTTGTACAGTCAAGGGCTGAAATGCTTTAGATCAATCATCATTCGTAAGTGCTCAAGTACTCTTGACAGATTATGAATAAAAAGGCTCTCCATTCAGTATGATTTGGAAATACTCAATTCATATGAACTCAAGGTTCTCGGCTGATTGGTAAGTGCTAAAAGGCTCTCAGCCAAACATAATTTGGAAGTGCTCAAGGGCTCTAAACCATATTTCTTAATTAAAGGAACTGTTGGATTTTATTGTCCATAAAACTACAATGTTTCCAACAAAAATATTTTGCTGTATTGATATATAACACAAAGTCTAATGACACAAACTTATACATGTTGTCAGCGGATAAAACAGGAAAGGCTAGACAACAAACATACTACACTCATAACCACTTTGATAACAAATGATCAAAACACTTAATAAATCAAAACATTTTCCATGATAATACTTGAACAATGCTCTGTTTAGTGTTGTCAAAGCTTTCCACATGTACAATTCTGTGTGTACATGAAGCACATGAGTCTTGTTAGTGGGTTCAATCTAAAACAAAACTTTTGCTCCCAGGAAAAGATGCAGACTTTCTCTGTTATTTACTCTAATACAAGGCTTACAAAAAAAAAAACCAATTCCATGACACACTTTTCCATTTTGTCCTTTATGTAGATCTAAAGTCCAGGCCTCTGTTGACTATGAGATTTATTTTTGAAACCGATCCTTTGTTACAATACAGATTTCGACTTAAATAAAGCACAATGCTGATTTATTGCTCTGTGGGTTTTGATTGTGATCTTGCTTGTTGTGCTGCATCAGACATGATCTTCATTGTTTCTAATTTGATTTTGTCTCCGTGAGGGGGTGGCCCAATTAGTTCACGAACTTGGTCATATGTTAGGGACTCCTTCTCCAAGAGAGTGTTAGCCAACTGAAATCAAATGAAACACCTTACAAACAAGAACATCTCTCCTAGAATTATTTTACATTAGTCTGACAGACTGTCCATATAACAGAGACATATAAAACACAGAGATTTGCAACTACTGCAGTTCTCGTAAGATTACGCATAATTGTATTTTCTTCGTTAAGGAAATGTATTGAGCATGAGATTTGGTAGTGTTTAGGGGTGTGAAAAATACTGACCTTTTCACAGCTTCAATTATTGAATTTACCAGGAACTTATCATGGCGATATTGAGATTTGAGACAAGTGATTAATATATCATGATATCAAAACATGAAAATCATTTTTACACCAAGCAGCAGAAAGACCTTATATTACCCTAAAACCGAGAATGGCACAGATCACACTGCCAGTGGCCATGTAAGAAAAGTTTGTTTTGAAATTACCAACGTTTCACAGTTATGTTATCAAACTTCATCTGCGACATGTTACATTGCTATTGGTATTTTGAGTCAAATTATAATCTTGCTTTTAAAATTCAGAAATCATCTTAAACAGAATAACAAATAAAAGACACTAAGCTTGTATCAATCTGCAGCCTAAAGACAGCACTAGTAGACAGCCACAATGTTAAATACAACTTTGTTGTGAAATGCCAACTTTTCTCTTCTTAGTTGCTGAATATCATTAAAGATGTATCACAACATTGTCAATAAGGATGATAAAAGTATTATATTAGAATCAATATATGAAAACCAAATTCAAACCAAATAATGAAAGAGGAGTTTTATGTATTTTGTGACAAAAAGGTTCACCAGTATGCCAGCCACACATAAAACCAACATTGGACATGTAGGAATTTAATGTATTTTCAGAGAATTAATCTGTACAAATGATGAGTCATCACAAACATGTTATAGAATAAACATTATATATTACAATAAGCGTTCACTTTCTAGGACACTTTGCATATCTACGTTATAATTCTGTCCGAAATGTCACATACAAAACGGCTTGAAGTGAAACATATATCCAATATGCCACAGTCTTTTAGATACATCATGCTACAAATGTGTATACACAATGTTTTATGAACAGTAACTATGTGTGATCAATGGTGAGATCAAGAGATTCTCTGTGTTATATATGTCTCTGTGTTACGTCTCTGTGTTACATCTCTGTGTTATATAGGTCTCTATGTTACGTCTCTGTGTTATATACGTCTCTGTGTTATATACTCTGTGTTACGTCTCTGTGTTATATACGTCTCTGTGTTACGTCTCTGTGTTACATCTCTGTGTTATATACGTCTCTGTGTTACGTCTCTGTGTTATATACTCTGTATAACGTCTGTGTTATATACGTCTCTGTGTTATATACTCTGTGTTACGTCTCTGTGTTATATACGTCTCTGTGTTACGTCTCTGTGTTACGTCTCTGTGTTATATACGTCTCTGTGTTACGTCTCTGTGTTACATCTCTGTGTTATATACGTCTCTGTGTTACGTCTCTGTGTTACATCTCTGTGTTATATACGTCTCTGTGTTACGTCTCTGTGTTATATATACGTCTCTGTGTTATATACTCTGTGTTACGTCTGTGTTATATACGTCTCTGTGTTATATGCGTCTCTGTGTTATATACGTCTCTGTGTTATATACTCTGTGTTACGTCTCTGTGTTATATACGTCTCTGTGTTATATGCGTCTCTGTGTTATATATGTCTCTGTGTTATATGCGTCTCTGTGTTATATACGTCTCTGTGTTATATACTCTGTGTTACGCCTCTGTGTTATATGCGTCTCTGTGTTATATGCGTCTCTGTGTTATATACATCTCTGTGTTATATGCGTCTCTGTGTTATATACATCTCTGTGTTATATACGTCTCTGTGTTATATACGTCTCTGCCAACACAACATATTCTGAGGGCAGTTTTTTGATACTTTAAATCATTTTGAATTGGTATGTCCATAAAACAATAAACAGTTGAATATTGACATGAGTATGGATGAGGAGTGGATTAAGTGGGTGTAAATTATTAACCAAAAAAGCCCCTGGGTGGGGAGATCAGTCAAGGAACTTGACAGAAAGGATCTGGGTGAGGAGATCAGTCAAGGAACTTGACAGAAATGACCTGGGTGGGGAGATCAGTCAAGGAACTTGACAGAAAGGACCTGGGTCAGGAGATCAGTCAAGGAACTTGACAGAAAGGACCTGGGTCAGGAGATCAGTCAAGGAACTTGACAGAAAGGATCTGGGTGAGGAGATCAGTCAAGGAACTTGACAGAAATGACCTGGGTGGGGAGATCAGTCAAGGAACTTGACAGAAAGGACCTGGGTCAGGAGATCAGTCAAGGAACTTGACAGAAAGGACCTGGGTCAGGAGATCAGTCAAGGAACTTGACAGAAAGGACCTGGGTGGGGAGATCAGTCAAGGAACTTGACAGAAAGGTCCTGGGTGAGGAGATCAGTCCAGGAACTTGACAGAAAGGATCTGGGTGAGGAGATCAGTCAAGGAACTTGACAGAAAGGACCTGGGTGGGGATATCAGTCAAGGAACTTGACAGAAAGGACCTGGGTGAGGAGATCAAACCAGGAACTTGACATAAAGGACCAGGGTGGAGAGATCAAACAAGGAACTTGACAGAAAGGACCTGGGTGGGGATATCAGTCAAGGAACTTGACAGAAAGGACCTGGGTGAGGAGATCAAACCAGGAACTTGACATAAAGGACCTGGGTGGGGAGATCAGTCCAGGAACTTGACAGAAAGGACCTGGGTGAGGAGATCAAAACAGGAACTTGAATGAAAGGACCTCGGTGGGGAGATCAAACCAGGAACTTGACAGAAAGGACCTGGGTGGGAGATCAGTCAAGGAACTTGACAGAAAGGTCCTGGGTGAGGAGATCAGTCCAGGAACTTGACAGAAAGGACCTGGGTGAGGATATCAGTTCAGGAACATGACAGAAAGGACATTGGTGAGGAGATCAGTCCAGGAACTTGACAGAAAGGACCTAGGTGAAGAGATCAGCCCAGGAACTTGACAGAAAGGACCTGTTTGGTGAGGAGATCAGAGAAGGAACTTGACAAAAAGGACCTGGGTCAGGAGATCAATCCAGGAACTTGACAGAAAGGACCTAGGTAGGGAGATCAATCCAGGTACTTGACAGGATGAACCTGGGTGGGGAGATCAGTCCGAAAACTTGACAGAAATGACCTAGGTGAGGAGATCAGTCCAGGAACTTGACAGAAAGGACCAGGGTGAGGATATCAAACCAGGAACTTGACAGAAATGACGTGGGTGGGGAGATATGTCCAAAACCCCTTGTTTTTTTTCCATAAGAAGGTTTGTGTCACCATTCATGTTAACTTACCAAGTCAAGTGTCACTTTGTTTTCTAAAAGCAGATTTTGTGTTGCCATATATGCCTTTGCCACCAGCCTGTTAACCTCCTGTTAAAACAATGATTATTTTCTCCTTTAAATTTTTAGAAACATTCAATGGTAAGCCATGAGAAGGAAAATTTTTATCATTTTACTGGATAGGAAGGATCTTTTATGAATAATTGGCTGAAATACTGATTTTCAGTTAAATGTTGGTTTCAACTTGCACAACAAAAGTCCGAATTATATGGATAGCATATTATAACAACAAGACAGTGGTGGAACTGGACCTTCAGGAGAAAGCAAATGTTTTCCTTTTTTTCTTTCTTTCATACTTTCTCTATTCTATTCCTAAATGACAAGGGCCTTGCAGAATGGATATTGATAAGAAGCCACAAAAAACGTCTACTCACTTCATCCATAACATTAGCTAGAGATTTGCTGTATGGCAACAAAGGCGTTTCTTCTGAGTAATCATATGACACACATCCAACTCTGTCGTTCATACCCCAGCTACGAATCTGTGTATACGCTTGCTTTGTGACCTTCTGAAGGTCATCCTGGGCACCTTGTCAAAAATAAATCATATAAGCATATAAAAAATAAATAAGAATACAAACAATGCCCTGTCTTACTGGTTTATAGTCTGATGTCACACTAGAATACAAACAACGCCCTGTCTTACTGGTTTATAGTCTGATGTCACACTAGAATACAAACAACACCCTGTCTTACTGGTTTATAGTCTGATGTCACACTAGAATACAAACAACGCCCTGTCTTACTGGTTTATAGTCTGATGTCACACTAGAATACAAACAACACCCTGTCTTACTGGTTTATAGTCTGATGTCACACTAGAATACAAACAACGCCCTGTCTTACTGGTTTATAGTCTGATGTCACACTAGAATACAAACAACACCCTGTCTTACTGGTTTATAGTCTGATGTCACACTAGAATACAAACAACGCCCTGTCTTACTGGTTTATAGTCTGATGTCACACTAGAATACAAACAACGCCCTGTCTTACTGGTTTATAGTCTGATGTCACACTAGAATACAAACAACACCCTGTCTTACTGGTTTATAGTCTGATGTCACACTAGAAAACAGACAACACCCTGTCTTACTGGTTTTTAGTGGGTGAAAGCTTTGTTGTATACTGAAGGTGAATTGTTAAATTTTTGTGTTCCAACAAGTTCTGCTGTTTACCTGAGGTGACAAGGGTGAAAGCTTTGTTGTTTACTTGAGGTGACTTGCGTGAAAGCTTTGTTGTATACCTGTAGGTGACTTGGGTGAAAGCTTTGTTGTATACCTGTAGGTGACTTGGGTGAAAGCTTTGTTGTTTACCTGAGGTGAAAAAGGTGAAAGCTTTGTTGTATACCTGTAAGTGACTTTGGTGAAAGCTTTGTTGTATACCTGTAGGTGACAAAGGTGAAAGCTTTGTTGTTTACCTGCGGTGATAACGGTGAAAACTTTGTTGTATACCTGTAGGTGACTTGGGTGAAAGCTTTGTTGTATACCTGTAGGTGACTTGGGTGAAAGCTTTGTTGTATACCTGTAGGTGACTTGGGTGAAAGCTTTGTTGTTTACCTGAGGTGAAAAAGGTGAAAGCTTTGTTGTATACCTGTAGGTGACAAAGGTGAAAGCTTTGTTGTTTACCTGCGGTGATAACGGTGAAAACTTTGTTGTATACCTGTAGGTGACTTGGGTGAAAGCTTTGTTGTATACCTGTAGGTGACTTGGGTGAAAGCTTTGTTGTATACCTGTAGGTGACTTGGGTGAATGTTTTTTTGGTTACCTGTAGGTGACTTGGGTGAAAGCTTTGTTGTATACCTGTAGGTGACTTGGGTGAAAGCTTTGTTGTATTCCTGTAGGTGACTTGAGTGAAAGCTTTGTTTTTTTAACCTGCAATGATAACGGTGGGAGCTTTGTTGTTTACCTGTGGTGATAACAGTGAAAGCTTTGTTTTATACCTGTAAGTGACTTTGGTGAAAGCTTTGTTGTTTACCTGAGGTGAAAAAGCTGAAAGCTTTGTTGTATACCTGTAGGTGACTTGGGTGAAAGCTTTGTTGTTTACCTGCGGTGATAACGGTGAAAGCTTTGTTGTATACCTGTAGGTGACTTGGGTGAAAGTTTTGTTGTATACCTGTAGGTGACTTGGGTGAAAGCTTTGTTGTATACCTGTAGGTGACTTGGGTGAAAGCTTTGTTGTTTACCTGAGGTGACTTGGGTGAAAGTTTTGTTGTATACCAGCAGGTGACTTGGGTGAAAGCTTTGTTGTATACCTGTAGGTGACTTGGGTGAAAGTTTTGTTGTATACCAGCAGGTGACTTGGGTGAAAGCTTTGTTGTATACCTGTAGGTGACTTGGTGAAAGCTTTGTTGTTTACCTGAGGTGACTTGGGTGAAAGTTTTGTTGTATACCTGCAGGTGACTTGGGTGAAAGCTTTGTTGTATACCTGTAGGTGACTTGGGTGAAAGCTTTGTTGTATACCTGTAGGTGACTTGGGTGAAAGCTTTGTTGTATACCTGTAGGTGACTTGGGTGAAAGCTTTGTTGTATACCTGTAGGTGACTTGGGTGAATGTTTTTTGGTTACCTGTAGGTGACTTGGGTGAAAGCTTTGTTGTATACCTGTAGGTGACTTGGTGAAAGCTTTGTTGTTTACCTAAGGTGACTTGGGTGAAAGTTTTGTTGTATACCTGCAGGTGACTTGGGTGAAAGCTTTGTTGTATACCTGTAAGTGACTTGGGTGAAAGTTTTGTTGTATACCTGTAGGTTTGTTGTATACCTGTAGGTGACTTGGGTGAAAGCTTTGTTGTATACCTGTAGGTGACTTGGGTGAAAGCTTTGTTGTATACCTGTAGGTGACTTGGGTGAAAGCTTTGTTGTATACCTGTAGGTGACTTGGGTGAAAGCTTTGTTGTATACCTGTAGGTGACTTGGGTGAAAGCTTTGTTGTATACCTGTAGGTGACTTGGGTGAAAGCTTTGTTGTATACCTGTAAGTGACTTTGGTGAAAGCTTTGTTGTATACCACAGGTGACTTGGGTGAAAGCTTTGTTGTTTACCTGCGGTGATAACGGAGAAAGCTTTGTTGTATACCTGTAGGTGACTTGGGTGAAAGCTTTGTTGTTTACCTGAGGTGACAAGGGTGAAGGCTTTGTTGTTTACTTGAGGTGACTTGGGTGAAAGCTTTGTTGTTTACCTGTAGGTGACTTGGGTGAAAGCTTTGTTGTATACCTGTAGGTGACTTGGGTGAAAGCTTTGTTGTTTAACTGAGGTGAAAAAGGTGAAAGCTTTGTTGGTTACCTGTAGGTGACTTGGGTGAAAGCTTTGTTGTATTCCTGTGGGTGACTTGAGTGAAAGCTTTGTTTTTTTAACCTGCAGTGATAACGGTGAAAGCTTTGTTGTTTACCTGTGGTGATAACGGTGAAAGTTTTGTTGTATACCTGTAGGTGACTTGGGTGAAAGCTTTGTTGTATACCTGTAGGTGACTTGGGTGAAAGCTTTGTTGTATACCTGTAGGTGACTTGGGTGAAAGCTTTGTTGTATACCTGTAAGTGACTTTGGTGAAAGCTTTGTTGTATACCTGTAGGTGACTTGGGTGAAAGCTTTGTTGTATACCTGTAAGTGACTTTGGTGAAAGCTTTGTTGTATACCTGTAGGTGACTTGGGTGAAAGCTTTGTTGTTTACCTGAGGTAACGTGGTTGAAGGTGATGTTTTCTGCAGCCCGTCCACCAAGCATCATACACATTCTGTCAAACAGCTGAAATGAAAGTTATTGGCTGATTAATATTTGTTCTTTTGTGTTTATTTACAATCCTCTATTACCTTCTGAATGTTGTTCTTACACCTAATGAACTTTGATAAAAACTAGAAAATGTCTGTAAGACATTAAATATCTTAATTCTAGGTATCTTAATCTGCCTGATTGACTAAGTTTGATATGAAATATCATATTACTTCATACTCCATCAATTGTTTTACAGATTTGAGAAGTTTTTCAGTTTCTTTCTGTAATATCTTCTATTTTCTCTTTGATGCATAGTGGAAATGAGAAAACATTAAGTAATAAAGTTTGAAGTTAAGTTTAACATCTAAATATTTCAAAGCGATTCAAAGTCATTCATTTGAATGAGCTTGGTAACTTATCACCCTTGCAAATGTTTCTGTCAAAAGTATGACTTTTTACCTGGTGAAAATTCAAAGGTTGTTCAAAACATTTCAATATATTTGACCGATTGGCCCTTAAAGTGGGTCAAGGTCATTCAATGGAACAAACTTAAAAGCTATTCATTCCAGCATGCTTCAGACACAGCAACATGACCCTGGGCTTCTGCTTATTCAGAAGTTTTTTATGACAATCTTGATATTAGAATGACAAAGAGTTAAATTCACATACCCTTTGAGCAGGTGAGATTATCATAACAATTTATGATATTTTTGCTATTTGCAGTACATTGCATGATTACAACAAGAGGCCCAGAGGGCCTGTATCGCTCACCTGGATCTTTATGACCAACAGTACTATATCTGTGCATACGTTCTACAGTAGATGTTGAATTGAGACTTTCTTATGATGTTTCCAGTTAAATATAATTGATAGCTTTCTTTTAAATCAAGGAAAGAAGATGGTCAAACAATATAGCAGAAAAACTCTTAGTTATAGCTGGACGGAAGACCCAGGACAGCAGAAGCTTACTTGCCCTATAGATCATTGTTTACAAACACAGATACAACATATTTGAGACTTGTACAAGTCAACAATATATAGCAACAATTAAATATAAAGACAGGAAAAATTAAGCTACTTGTAATTATAAACCACAATCCTAACTCAAAACCAATAATAAAACGTTTCATGCATATCATTAGTGATGTCACCATGGTCAGTTAAGCCCCAGTTACTGGAGATATACTGATAACAGTTTACTGTATGCCTATAAACACTGCATAGCAAATGGGGTCAACTTAGAATATCTTATTTATTTATGCTATAATTATGAAGAATCTTAAATCAAAATGAAACTCTTGCAATTCTCTTCTGATCATGTTTTCTGTATTGTAATGCTGTGAATAGAACATAAGTAATTGGCTAACATGTGGTTTTTCACATTACTTAGCTCAAGCCCCTCAGACCTCAAGAGGGCTTGGCCTAATCTATTTTTTGGAACAGTGTGACATCACTGTGAAAGGTTTTTATAATCTATTCCAAATTATGCCAAGAAAACTCCCAGCTAAATATGTCCCATTCATAAAGTCATTTGTATATAAGCCTTTAATGGCCAAATATGATGGGTTTTTGGTTAATCAGAAGAAGTTGATTAACTATTTGACCAAATCTAACCCCAATGACCTTAAATATCATTATGGGTCAAGCTATTTTTTCACACACTATGTGGGCACCATTAAGGGAACCTTTTGGCCAAATATTATGATCCTGGGCCTTTAGGTTAATCAGAAGTTGTTCAAACATGGGTCAAGGTCATTTCTGTTCTCAAATATTACCGGGCATCATTGAGAACCTATTTTAGAATAATATCACTATCCTTGATGTTTTGGATAATCAGAAAATGTTGTTTAAAGGTTTAACATATTTGACCCCTGTGACCTTGAATATGGGTCAAGGTCATTGGAACATACTGGTCAAATATAATGATTCTAGGCTTTTTCGATATTTTTAGAAGAAATTGTTTAAAAGTTTTAACACATTTGACCCATGTTACCTTGAAGATTGGTCAAAGTCATTTCTTTTAGCATACTTTGTAAGACACCATAAGAGGAACATAGTAGCCAAATATAATGATTCTAGGCCGTCCGGTATTTGGTGAGAAGTCGTTTAATGAATTTACACATTTGACCTCTGTGACCTTGAATATGGGTCAAGGCATTTCTTTTAGTAAACTTTGTTGGGCTATATCAAAGGAACCTTCCAGCCAAATATAATGATTCTAGGCCTTCCGGTATTTTGGAAGAAGTCATTTAAATGAAAAGTTGACGGATGGATGACGGACCGACAGATGGACGACGAAATCCATAAAATAATGAAACACATGTTTATCCTTTTACATCCAGATAACAAAATTTTCATCTGTTTAAAAACAATCTGCTTGTTTTAAAAGAAAATGGCGAAACTTTTGACAAGAGAAAATAACCAGGTATAGATTACCTGTTGGTTGGAGTAGAGGTAGTTTTCCTGTGGGGCCAACTGTGCAAATCCAAGGGCATTGTTTGTCCTAGGTACAATGGAAACCTAATAACAAAGGAACAGAATCTGTAAAATATTAAATCAAGTTTGATTAAGGCTATAAAATTGATATATGCAAATCCTTAATCCACAGGAAAGGTATGAATATCTCCCAATAGAGATTTTATATAGGAAAAGACACACTAAGAGAGCTATTGACCAGATCACCCATCAATACAGCTGTTGACCAGATCCCCCACCAATACAGCTGTTGACCAGATCACCCACCAATACAGCTGTTGACCAGATCCCCCACCAATACAGCTGTTGACCAGATCACCCACCAATACAGCTGTTGACCAGATCACCCACCAATACAGCTGTTGACCAGATCCCCACCAATACAGCTGTTGACCAGATCACCCACCAATACAGCTGTTGACCAGATCCCCACCAAGACTGTCAATGACCAGATCAACACCAAGACAGCTGTCAACCAGATCTCCACCAAGACTGTCAATGACCAGATCCCCACCAAGACAGCTGTTGACCAGATCCCCACCAAGACTGTCAACGACTAGATCACCCACCAATACAGCTGTTGACCAGATCACCTACCAATACAGCTGTTGACCAGATCACCTACCAATACAGCTGTTGACCAGATCCCAACCAATACAGCTGTTGACCAGATCCCCACCAATACTGCTGTTGACCAGATCACCCATCAATAAAGCTGTTGACCAGATCACCCACCAATACTACTGTTGACCAGATCCCCCACCAATACAGCTGTTGACCAGATCACCCACCAATACAGCTGTTGACCAGATCCCCACCAATACAGCTGTTGACCAGATCACCCACCAATACAGCTGTTGACCAGATCCCTCACCAATACAGCTGTTGACCAGATCACCCACCAATACAGCTGTTGACCAGATCACCCACCAATACAGCTGTTGACCAGATCCCCCACCAATACAGCTGTTGACCAGATCACCCAACAATACCGCTGTTGACCAGATCACCCATCAATACAGCTGTTGACCAGATCATCCACCAATACAGCTGTTGACCAGATCCCCCACCAATACAGCTGTTGACCAGATCATCCACCAATACAGCTGTTGACCAGATCCCCCACCAATACAGCTGTTGACGAGATCACCCAACAATACCGCTGTTGACCAGATCACCCATCAATACAGCTGTTGACCAGATCCCAACCAATACAGCTGTTGACCAGATCCCCACCAATACAGCTGTTGACAAGATCACCCAACAATACAGCTGTTGACCAGATCACCCACCAATACAGCTGTTGACCAGATCCCCCACCAATACAGCTGTTGACCATATCACCCACCAATATAGCTGTTGACCAGATAACCCATCAATACAGCTGTTGACCAGATCCCCACCAAAACTGTCAATGACCAGAACCCCACCAATACAGCTGTTGACCAGATCACCCACCAATACAGCTGTTGACCAGATCCCCCACCAATACAGCTGTTGACCATATCACCCACCAATATAGCTGTTGACCAGATAACCCATCAATACAGCTGTTGACCAGATCAACCACCAAGACTGTCAATGACCAGAACCCCACCAATACAGCTGTTGACCAGATCACCCACCAATACAGCTGTTGACCAGATCCCCACCAAAACTGTCAATGACCAGATCCCCACCAAGACAGTTGTTGACCAAATCCCCACCAAGATTGTCAATGACTAGATCACCCACCAATAAAGCTGTTGACCAGATCACCCACCAATACAGCTGTTGACCAGATCCCCACCAAGACTGTCAATGACCAGATCACCCACCAATACAGCTGTTAACCAGATCACCCACTAATACAGCTGTTGACCAGGTCCCCACCAAGACTGTCAATGACTAGATCCCCTACCAATACAGATGTTGATCAGATCACCCACCAATACAGCTGTTGACCAGGTCCCCTATCAATACAGCTGTTGACTAGATCCCCTACCAATACAGCTGTTGACCAGATCACCCAGCAATACAGCTGTTGACCAGGTCCCCCACCAATACAGCTGTGACCAGATCCCCCACCAAGAGAACCCATGACCAGTTCCCGCACCAAGAGAGCCAATGACCAGGTCCCCACCAATACAGCTGTTGAACAGATCCCCCACCAATATAGTTGTTCACCAGATGACCCACCGATACAACTGTTGACCAGATCCCCCACCAAGAGAACCCATGACCAGATCCCCCACCAAGAGAACCCATGACCAGGTCCCCCACCAATACAGCTGTTGACCAGATCCCCCACCAATACAGCTGCTGACCAGATCACCCACCAATAAAGCTATTGACCAGATCCCCATCAATACAGCTGTTGACCAGATCACCCACCAATACAGCTGTTGACCAGATCACCCACCAATACAGCTGTTGACCAGATCTCCCACCAATACAGCTGTTGACCAGATCACTCACCAATACAGCTGTTGACCAGATCACCCTCCAATACAGCTGTTGACGAGATCACCCACAAATACAGCTGTTGAACAGATCCCCACCAAGACAGCCAATGACCAGACCCCTTATTCAATGTGTCTGTAGGTTCCTGTAGCCAACCCACTATGAACATACCTGGAGTAAAGCATCTGTATGCTTAAGGAGCCAGCCAACTAATGCATGGCCAGCTTCATGGTAAGCCACGACCTTCCGGTCCTCCTTGGTGATCACACTTCTCTTTTTCTCAGCACCTTTAATCAAAGATATTTCATTACCAAATCAATAAATTTTCATGAAGAATTGATCATTGACACAGTATCTTTTGTAATGTTTTATATGTGATTATAATGACTTCAACAAGAAAGCTAACAACAATAATAGTAGAATGAGTATAATGGTATTTATACAGCTATATTTACCTATCAAATGTCCATGAAATAATGATTTTTTAGAAATCATGATAATTAAACCCTAAGAAAATATTATTCTACAGTATTTTGAAAATGATAGAGACCTGCAACAATTCTCTCAATAGCAAAGTAGAAATCTCCCATAGTTATGCCATCATTAGCATGTCGAGCAGCATGGAGAGCAGCTTCATTACAAATATTGGCAATGTCCGCTCCTGCAAATATAAAATATCTATTTGTTTATATGTCTACTTGGCTAATTTCGAGGCCCAACCATCTTGAAGTAGCTTCCTGACTGAATAACATTTGGGTGCCCCATCACATCCAGAGTAATTAGAGTAAAGTATCTTGTCCTAGGGCACAATCATGTCAGTGCAGACCTGTCTATTTCTTCCTGGGAAACACACATCTCAACAGGTAGAAATCATTAAACATCTGTGATCTTCAACTGAGATTACATGGCTAAATGCTTTATCTGTTTGCACCATCACAACCTTGTTATTTAGTTAAGTGCAATAACTACAAAGTTTGTATTAAAACGCTACTTCTAACTATGTTGTTCACTTCATATACACACAAACAGGCATATTTCTCTGAAAATAACCAATGATGTTCCATATCTCCCAAGAAATTTCTGAATAATAATTTAAACAAAGGGCAATAACTATATATATATATATTTGGTTGTTCAGTGCAAATTGAAGAACAGATGGAGAGAGTGAGAGACTAATGTGGAGTAAGTGAGTATATGTGTAATGACTTACCACTCATGCCTGTAGTTAATTGGGCCAGGCGAGGGGCAACCTCCTTGTAATCCACCAACAACTTTAACTTCTTCATATAAACATGGAAAATTTCCTCTCTCTCCTCAACAGTAGGAAAGTCAATTTGTATCTGTCTGTCAAACCGTCCTGGTCTCAGCAAAGCCTAAAGAAAAACCAATCTGTCAACCCATTCCTGGTAACATCAAAAGAGACTATTTGGTACTGTATTCCTCAATCTCTTTTGATTATACCATTTCCAAAGGGATGTTTCATCCCCATTCAGGTTAATTTCCCTTCAGATCTACTAAAAAAGTAATTATCAACATTCATTTAGCATTTGTTTCCCTACTTTCAGTCTGTAGAAAGAAAATTTCAAGGACTTAAGGTTGTTCCTTTCTTTGCTTGATCAAAAAATACCTTACTTTAATACCTTACTATAAGTTTTTTTAAATTTTGAAATAAAGGATTTGCCAATCTGCTCCTCTGCACCACTAATCTAATTAATGATCAATGATCACTGGTATGTAAAAAGAGGTCCAGTGGACCTGTATCACTTTTCAGATATAGATTACCGGGAAGGAAACCACATCAGACCCTTGTGGCCTTTAAGTGGGTCAAAGTTATTTAGTGCATCAAAGTTACAGCTGAAGTAATAATTCATCCTAGCATGCTACAGGCTAAATCAGGTAATAAACTTGACCTTAAAAGTCATCTATTTTTATAAATTGAATTCATCCAAGCACTAGCACCATAACATGAGCCTGGACATCTCTTTAATATCAATGAAAATTTTAAAAGGGTTTCACACATTTCAACCCTAGTAAAGGAGAAATGGAAGGTCATTCATTTGAACAAACCTGACAGTTCTTCCCACAGTATACTACAAGAATGTTTCAAGAGGAAAGCTGACATTGCATAAATGGACATTAAGCTCTGTTGAACTCAAATTTTTATCTATAAAACTGTAAGGATTATTAAAACAAGAGGCCCAAGGGGCCTTAACAGTCACCTGAGGAATATATGTCAATAATCTGGGGATTTTAAAATGTTGCAAAAATGTAACAACACTTGTGCAGGACCATGTGTAAAACATTTGTACCAAGTTTGAACATGACCCACCCAATGGTTCTTGAGAGGAAGTCCATAATGTCTTAGCCAAACAGAGGCCAGGGTGGCCATCTTAGAATTTGAATCGCCATGTGTAGAACATTCGTATCAAGTTTCCCTTTTTACCCCTCCTGCGGCTCCTTTTTGGGCCACGCCCTTTTTCTTCACAAACTTGAAGCGGCTTCCCATGGGGATGCTTTGTGCCAAGTTTGGCCAAAATCCATCTACTGGTTCTTGAGAAGTAGTCATTTAATGAAGGTTTTTACATATGGCCCTTTTTACACCCCTTATGGGCCCCAAGGGGGACATTATCACTTTTTTCAACATAATTTCATATGTCCTTCACTAAGGGATGCTGTCTACCAAATTTGGTTGAAATCAATCAAAGTTGAATTTTCGACCCAATGCTTTGTGCCAAGTTTGCTCAAAATCCATGCAGTGGTTCTTGAGAAGAAGTTGAATATGTGAAAAGTTAACGACGCACAACGCACGGCGCACAACGCATGATGCACTACGACAGACAAATCATGATGGCAATAGTTCACCATGAGCCTTCAGCTCAAGCGACCTAAAAAAATAGTATTAGTAAGACATGCTTGTCTTGTAAATGTTGTTAGTTTAATCCCAATTTATGAATATATTCATGTGTTTTCCTGTAGTAATTAATTCAGAGATCAGACGAGGCTTCCAAGTTCCTGCATGTCATTTTCAATATATACAGTAAAACTTTGATGAGTCGAACTTTGATGATTCAAATTTCTCCATGTTTCGAATTTTTTGCCAAGTCCCGATTTTTTCCCCTATATAATATACCGTAAAAACCCACGTAATGTCCGCATCTGTGTAATGTCCGCACCCCTTTTTTGACACAAAAATCTGGGGAAAAAACCCACCTTCCATGTAATGTCCGCGGGTAAAAAATGCAAATTGAAGCTGCCGATTTCATTTCACGTACGCTAATGTCGTAATGGCTGAGAGCATGTCGCATTGTGTATAACTTACAGGTACCATTCAAGAATTCACTTAATTGTTTATAACAACAGTTATTCTCCATAATGGTACAGTAAGCTTACCAGTATGACAAGTCCTCATTTCGATAATTGGTGTTTTGTTAAGGGTTAGCCCAGCAGTGTTATAAACAGCTTGGGTCGTCTCCTCACCTCGAGTGTGAGTGAGTGACAGCGTGTGATTAGCCAATTAACGATAACTATACAGTAACATGACCCGCCCATGACCCACGGCGCCACTGACCCTACTGACACACCATCAGACGACGAGAACGCCATTTATTACAACGACCAGACAGAGGAAGACAACTTCAACGCCGAGGAGTTCTTCCACAGTGACGACGACGACTTCTGGGGTTTCGAGAAACGCTATTAAACCGGCCTGCTATGTATTAAGACTTTCTGATAAACGATCCATAATCAATAAAACGTCTGATTATTTATTTTATGTAATATTCTTGTACATGTTATTTATTGTTATTTTGTAAATAAAATGTAGAATGAAAATGTTGTGTTATTTTGTATATGCTCATGGGTATGTTTTTTCAATGGGGAAAGGGGAATAACTCTAACTTTATTCATGTGACAAAGTCAAACAAAATGGCTTCCTATTACGAAGGACGACACAATACGAACCTGTAACGAGAAATTGGAAGGAATTAACCATGGAAACTATAATAAATAATCATAAATAATCATGTTTGGTTGAGGAAACATCATAGAAAAAACCATAGAACGATAATATCAGGTATGCTTGGCTTTTAAGAACACAATTCAAGGAGATATGATATGAATTGTCGGAAGGAAAAAAGTGTCATTTCCTCTATATCTCTGTAATGTCCGCACCCCCTTTTTTGGATTGATTTTCGGTGAAAAAAAGTGCGGACATTACATGGGTTTTTACGGTAATACTATATAATTTCACATTTATGACTTGAACTTTTATGAATCCAAGTTCTCACTGTTTCGAACTTTTTTCACTGTCCCATGGTTAAGAAACCATTAGAAATCACAACACATGAATCAAAGTCAAAAAATTTACCTGTACGAGAAAACTTGAATGTCCCATGGCAGTTTTCACACCTCGGCGGAAGCGTGAACAATGGCCAGGCCAAGGCTAAGACACAAAGTGACAATAATCACTGACCATGTCTGATTGTCTACACAATGGAGGATTTTTTCTCGGCGGAGCAACATGACTGATTCCTGTGTTGAGACAGGGACGTCCCTGGTTGAGATTAGTGGGGTTTTTTCAGGACATCGTTTCATTTCACTACCGGACACTATTAGTGCGTAAGATATAATTTGTTGTTCATTCTTTGTTTAATTTGGATTTGAAGAAAATATTGCATTGCGATGTAGTGCTAAAATATGTAATGTATATTGTGCTTGCATTCTTACATGTGTGTTACGTATGGATGTTGTTACGTCCTTTACGAAATCAGTAAGATACACATACCGCAAGTGAACCAAGCTCTCATCTCCGATACAACCATGCTGCCCTGTGTATGAATGACTCGATGAAAGTGGTATGTTGCATTGTTATTCGTTGTTATTTGATGTCTCTTGTCCTTATAATAAACATGTTAAAATTCATATGAATTCTTTTCCTTCCTCCGATATTCTGTGACAAAGTTGCGTTCGAACAGACATTTGATAGATTATCGAAGCGATCAACACGAGAAATTGATAAAGGACTCTGCATATATCACAAACGGACACAATACACATCTTTTACAGGTGTATTTTTTGTGGTTGGATGGTCACCATTCATGAGTCAAAGTCCCGATGTATCGAAGTTTTCTTGACGGTCCCTTGAACTTCGATACATCAAAGTTTTACTGTACTTGTCTTCATCTTTTACTTTCCAATTTTTTAGGAAAGGTTTTAAGTGACATATAACCCCAGCTACATGACACCAAACACTGGAAGGATGTCTAACAAAACGGAAAACTCAAGGAGAGAGAAAAGCTGTCACCAAAAGTAGAATCCTATATCCATGTAAAATTAGTTTATTGGAATCTCAGATATAGTAAGTAAAACAAGAGGCCCAAGGGCTGTAATGGTCACCTGTCGAGTTACAAATCTTCTTGTAACATGTCATTTTGTCAAAAAAGTCAGATAACTTTAACTACATTGTACACATAATGTAAATGTAGACTGTGTATACAATAACTGCTGTCCTATGCTAAGGCTTCTAACCAAGTTTGAATTAAAAACAAATTACACCCAAAAAAGGAATTTCCTACAGTATTTGACAGATTTTATCATATCTAGGTTTTGAAACGACCTTTGAAATTTGAGTCAATTTCACCTCTTTTAACTCAGCTCATCAGCCCCTAGGGACCAGACATGATAAATATGAGCATATCATTAAACAGTCTTCTAAAACTAAACAATTGCCCAAATTTTAACTGTTTCCAATAGACAATAAACAAATTATGATAAATAATCTAATTTTTCAACTTAAATTATAATACAATTAACTATCTCCACAGGGGGACATGTGAGAACTTGAGGTTATGAAATTAACAGTTCGGTGAAGCTCCTAAAGATGCTTTCATCAAAAAAGAATATTTGGTTCTATCTTCTCTGTGTATTGAGAAGATTTTTAAAATTTCAATCATTTTTACCTTATTTTGGCTCCATCGATCAGCCCCTGAGGTCAGTCGGGATTAATAGGTAGATATTGTCATATTGACATCTTCTACTTATAACCAAGTTTGAACTCTTTCCACACAGAATTATGCTCAACAAGAGGCCCAGAGGGTCTGTATCGCTCACCTGGATCTTCATAACCAACATTACTATATCTGTGCATATGTTCCACGTTTAAAACATTTGACCCCTGTGACCTTGACTATGGGTCAAGGTCATTTCTTTTACTTTCTTAGACTTCATAAAAGGAACATACTGGCCAAATATAATGATTCTAGGCTTTTGATATTTCAGAAGAAACTGTTTAAACATTTTAACACATTTGACTCCTGTGACCTTGAAGATTGGTCAAGGTCATTTCTTTTAGCAAACTTTGTAGGACACCATATAGTAGCCTTATATAATGATTCTAGGCCTTCCGGTATTTTGAAAGAAGTCGCTTCAATGTTTTAACATGTTTGACCTCTGTGACCTTGAATACGGGTCAAGGTTTTGTTTTTTTTTTGCAAACTTTGAGCTTTATCAAAGGAACCTTCCAGCCAAATATAATGATTCTAGGCCTTCTGGTCTTTTGGAAGAAGTTGTTTAAAGGATTTAATATGTTTGACCTCTGTGACCTTTAATATGGGTCAAGGTCATTTCTTTTTGCAAACTTTGTTTGGCTTCATCAAAGGAACCTTCCAGCCGAATATGATACCTCTATGCCTTTCAGTATTTCAGAAGAAGTTGTTTAAATAAAAAGTTCACGGATGCCAGATGGACGGACGACGGATAGACAGATGGACGATGGACGCCAAGCTATGGCATAAGCTCACTTGGCCCTTTGGGCCAGGTGAGCTAACAATGTAATTGTCCTGTATGAACTATAGGAATTTTTTTCCTCCTGAGGTCATGAAATTTGCAATTTTGGATAAACATCCTACAGCACTCCCATCCATGAAGAGTATTTGGCTCTACTTTGAGTGCAAATTGAAAAGAAAATCTTTGAAGTCCCACTCAATTTAACTATTTTTGGCCCTGCCATTCAGGTCCGTGGGGGTAGGATTGAATAATTTTCAATTTAGGAGCACCTTTTTCCATGCAAAATTTCATTGAAATCTGTTTGGGAGTTGAAAATATTAATGACCCAAAACACCAAACAACAAGAGATCCATGAGGGATCTTGGCGCCCACCATTTGAGGATCTGTTTTCAGTTCTTGAAGATTTTTTTTTGTTTGTTACAGGTGTTGTAAATGTTCATGAACTGGTCTTCATTGAATGTACTCAATGATGGCACAAGATATTTTTATTAAGCACCTATTAGCAAATATCATTTGAAAAAGATCCCAAAGTATTATTAGATAGCAGTCAGTTACATGTGGATAATGGACAATATGCTTGTGCTGTATTACTATCGACATCCAAGAAGGCTACCTGTGGGCCACCTTGATTTCAAATCAGTCCAAAAAAGGTACAATGCACAACTAGGGACCAAGGGAAACCAATATCTATGAAATATCAGAAGTATCCATCTAGTACTTCCTCAGATATAGCAGTAACAAGATTTTACTCTCAAAATCCAAGATAGCTGCCTGTCAGCCATCTTGATTTCGGATCAGTCCAAAAAGGTATAATGCACAACTTGGAACCAAAGGGAACCTGCATATGAAATTTGAGAAAGATCCATCCAGTACTTTCCAAGAAATAGCAGTAACAAACTTTTACATTCAAAATCCAAGATGGCCACCTGTCTGCCATCTTGAATTCGAATCAGTCCAAAAAAGGTACAATGCACAACTAGGGACCAAGGGGAAACTGCATATGAAATTTGAGAAAGATCCATCCAGTACTTTTCCAGAAATAGCGGTAACAAGAATTGTTTACGGACGGACGGACGGACCACGGAACACGGACGCAGGGCGATTTGAATAACCCACCATCTATTTGAATAGATGGTGGGCTAAAAAGTGATCACAATGATTACCATGGGACATAATGAAGCAATTTTTTAAAGATGTTTTTTCTTTTTTGTGTAAGTTTGGCAAGTTTGAATGTGAGTGATGACCCTACCTTGTCTAGAACATCTGAGCGGTTAGTGGAGGCAATCATGATAATACCCTCTGTTGTCTCCATACCATCAAGTTCCACTAAGAGCTGGTTAAGTGTATGTTCTTCTTCAGAGCCATGCTCAGATCTTTAACAAAACAGGACATCACAAAATATAAACACCAAACCACAGGATTTAATGATGTTGAATGAATGAAAATTTTATCTTGACCTTCAAACTGATGACCTTGACCTTGAGTTAAATATTCCATTATTTCCAAAATATTTCCTAGAGATGAGATGGAAAGCATGACTTTTGACCTAATGACCTTTGATCTTTGGTGAATTAACTTATGATTTCATTAAAACCGTTTTTTTTTCTATTTTAAATCAAATCACTTTGGTACTTTACCAGCTCAAGATACAAAATTTGATCTTGACCTGATCGTGGAGGGGTGGAGGATTGTTATTGTATTTGGGTATATGTCACTAGAGCATTTTTCAATTGGTGCATCACTAGATAATTAACTGTCATATAGTATTTACGTGATACATTGAAAATGGAGCAACAAGATAGCCGCTGTTGTTTGATTTTGTCATCCATATTTTCATACTAAAACTTCTGTGATAGAAGGTATCTTAAATTTGTTTTCATTTCTAGTTCACAAAAATAAAAACTTTTAAGTCTTGTCTCATATAAGATAAATACTCATAAAAGATCTCTATACCTAAGAATGTTGATGATGATGTTGATGATGATGATGATGATGATGATGATGATGATGATGATGATGATGATGATGATGATGATGATGATGGTGATGATGATGATGTAATAGTGAGTGTAACATGAAGATGATAATAGTGAATGATATCTACGAATAATAATTGTAAAAATTTCAGATGACATAATGTATGTATATTATGAGAGAATGACGGGTGTGAATGCTCTGTGTGTCAATATTTGTTATGTATTAGGTGAAAAATTTCGTCGGAAAATAAAAAATTAGAAAAAAAAAAAAAAAAGAACGTTGAGTGAGATATCCGATAAATGGAAAGCGAAAAAGTGTACAAGGAATCAAAACAACAAATAAAATCAGTTTTTGTAAAAAAAATTCTCCTGATCAGTCAAAACAAATACAGGTGGACCTCTTCATCTCAAAGTGATATAACTCTAAGACCCCGTTGAATTTGTAGTGATTCATTGATCCCTGCCTAGTTTTATACCAAACATTCGCATTCCCTTGAATTCTCGGAAAACTTGAAGTCACCCCATAAAAATTCAGCTAACGAGGTTTGACAATAATTAACCAATGTAATTACGATATGATATCATGCATAAAATTTCATGAAAATTCTATAGAAATGACTTGCTAGAGTAAAAGCAATGAACCAGGATTATACAAATTATCAAGGCAACAAGACAGATATTAAAAGGTAACAAATTATCAAGGCAACAAGACAGATATTAAAAGGTAACACTGTAGATTTCTTTGAAAATGAAGATAGCATCTAATGTATGGAAATTATCCGACAGCTTTTTACATTTAAGAAATGGAGAAATTTTCAAGAAATGATAGGAAGTGCAGCATTGATAAGGTGTTGGCTACCAGCACAATACTGTCAAAATACTTACTCAGAAAGTCATATGAAAAGTAAGGATAACGTACCCATTTCTTTTTTTACCTATGGCGTCTATTTCATCAATATAGATAATACAAGGAGATTGTTGACGTGCATCTTTGAAAAGATTTCTCATTCTGGAGGCACCAAGTCCTAAAATATATAAGAAACATTATTGCTAGGTCTGGACCTTTGTCAAAGTTAATATCTCATCTCCTGTTCCCCATTTTGTCAAAATGGGAAACATGAAAGGTGATTTGAAATCTGAGTTTTAAGCTTATACATATATACACACACAATTTTCTTACTGCAGGACCAATTTAATATGGGGTGAATATAAAAGGATGAACGAAATAATGAATGAAAACTACATGAGAATTAAAGCTTTGAATGAAATCTACTATTACCATACAACATCCCACAAAATCTTTAAAAGTTTTATCAAATTAAATCTAACATGGTAAGTATAGAATTTGCGACATCAAATTCCAAGACCTTTATGGGACTTTCAATAAGTTTCAGAACTATCTCTATTTCACTTGTTCAGTTCCTGAGTTATGGTTACTAACTACAGTAATATTGTACATTTCTTTGAGAGATTCTGAAAATTTTTATATTTTGTATTTTTACAATGGAGACAAAAAAAACTTTTCAAAGCCTCAATGCCAAATCCCAAGTCTTCACAGGCATGAATTTTACAGGAGAAGGCTGAAATTCTGTGACTTTCAATACCTGTAGGAACCATGTCAAACATACAAATCTTACATTTAACTTGATAATTCCAGTCTAAGTAACATATCTTCAGCATTGACATACGATGAGATGAGATGTAGATTGTTTGCCTTTTTATCTTACCAACAGCAATGACTGTCACTAAATTACTTATTTATATATTTATAATTATATACTTCATCCAGACATAAGGCTTTTTTCAGCAAAGCTGTTGCTTGATCATCCTTGATCTTTACCCTTCCCAAAGCCTCAGTTCTGACCCAAACTCTATACCCTTCACAAAGCCTCAGTTCTGACCAAAACTCTATACCCTTCACAAAGCCTCAGTTCTGACTCAAACTATATACCCTTCACAAAGCCTCAGTTCTGACCCAAACTCTATACCCTTCACAAAGCCTCAGTTCTGACCCAAACTCTATACCCTTCACAAAGCCTCAGTTCTGACCCAAACTCTATACCCTTCACAAAGCCTCAGTTCTGACTCAAACTCTATACCCTTCACAAAGCCTCAGTTCTGACCCAAACTCTATACCCTTCACAAAGCCTCAGTTCTGACCCAAACTCTATACCCTTCACAAAGCCTCAGTTCTGACCCAAACTCTATACCCTTCACAAAGCCTCAGTTCTGACCCAAACTCTATACCCTTCACAAAGCCTCAGTTCTGACCCAAACTCTATACCCTTCACAAAGCCTCAGTTCTGACCCAAACTCTATACCCTTCACAAAGCCTCAGTTCTGACCCAAACTCTATACCCTTCACAAAGCCTCAGTTCTGACCCAAACTCTATACCCTTCACAAAGCCTCAGTTCTGACCCAAACTCTATACCCTTCACAAAGCCTCAGTTCTGACCCAAACTCTATACCCTTCACAAAGCCTCAGTTCTGACCCAAACTCTATACCCTTCACAAAGCCTCAGTTCTGACTCAAACTCTATACCCTTCACAAAGCCTCAGTTCTGACCCAAACTCTATACCCTTCACAAAGCCTCAGTTCTGACTCAAACTCTATACCCTTCACAAAGCCTCAGTTCTGACCCAAACTCTATACCCTTCACAAAGTCTTGGTTCTGACCCAAATTCTATATCCCTAACAAAGTCTTGGTTCTGACCCAAATTCTATACCCCTAACAAAGTCTTGGTTCTGACCCTAATTCTATACCCTTCACAAAGTCTTGGTTCTGACCCTAATTCTATACCCCTAACAAAGTCTTGGTTCTGACCTAATTCTATAATTCTATACCCCTAACAAAGTCTTGGTTCTGACCCTAATTCTATACCCCTAACAAAGTCTTGGTTCTGACCCTAATTCTATACCCCTAACAAAGTCTTGGTTCTGACCCTAATTCTATACCCCTAACAAAGTCTTGGTTCTGACCCTAATTCTATACCCCTAACAAAGTCTTGGTTCTGACCCTAATTCTATACCCCTAACAAAGTCTTGGTTCTGACCCTAATTCTATACCCCTAACAAAGTCTTGGTTCTGACCCTAATTCTATACCCCTAACAAAGTCTTGGTTCTGACCCTAATTCTATACCCCTAACAAAGTCTTGGTTCTGACCCTAATTCTATACCCCTAACAAAAGTCTATTAACAAAGCCTCAGTTCTGACCCAAACTCTATACCCTTCACAAAGCCTCAGTTCTGACCCAAACTCTATACCCTTCACAAAGCCTCAGTTCTGACCCAAACTCTATACCCTTCACAAAGCCTCAGTTCTGACCCAAACTCTATACCCTTCACAAAGCCTCAGTTCTGACCCAAACTCTATACCCTTCACAAAGCCTCAGTTCTGACGCAAACTCTATACCCTTCACAAAGCCTCAGTTCTGACCCAAACTCTATACCCTTCACAAAGCCTCAGTTCTGACCCAAACTCTATACCCTTCACAAAGCCTCAGTTCTGACCCAAACTCTATACCCTTCACAAAGCCTCAGTTCTGACCCAAACTCTATACCCTTCACAAAGCCTCAGTTCTGACCCAAACTCTATACCCTTCACAAAGCCTCAGTTCTGACCCAAACTCTATACCCTTCACAAAGCCTCAGTTCTGACTCAAACTCTATACCCTTCACAAAGCCTCAGTTCTGACCCAAACTCTATACCCTTCACAAAGCCTCAGTTCTGACCCAAACTCTATACCCTTCACAAAGCCTCAGTTCTGACCCAAACTCTATACCCTTCACAAAGCCTCAGTTCTGACCCAAACTCTATACCCTTCACAAAGCCTCAGTTCTGACTCAAACTCTATACCCTTCACAAAGCCTCAGTTCTGACCCAAACTCTATACCCTTCACAAAGCCTCAGTTCTGACCCAAACTCTATACCCTTCACAAAGCCTCAGTTCTGACCCAAACTCTATACCCTTCACAATGCCTCAGTTCTGACCCAAACTCTATACCCTTCACAAAGTCTTGGTTCTGACCCTAATTCTATACCCTTCACAAAGTCTTGGTTCTGACCCTAATTCTATACCCCTAACAAAGTCTTGGTTCTGACCCTAATTCTATACCCCTAACAAAGTCTTGGTTCTGACCCAAACTCTATACCCTTCACAAAGCCTCAGTTCTGACTCAAACTATATACCCTTCACAAAGCCTCAGTTCTGACCCAAACTCTATACCCTTCACAAAGTCTTGGTTCTGACCCAAATTCTATATCCCTAACAAAGTCTTGGTTCTGACCCTAATTCTATACCCCTAACAAAGTCTTGGTTCTGACCCTAATTCTATACCCCTAACAAAGTCTTGGTTCTGACCCTAATTCTATACCCCTAACAAAGTCTTGGTTCTGACCCTAATTCTATACCCCTAACAAAGTCTTGGTTCTGACCCTAATTCTATACCCTTCACAAAGTCTTGGTTCTGACCCTAATTCTATACCCCTAACAAAGTCTTGGTTCTGACCCTAATTCTATACCCCTAACAAAGTCTTGGTTCTGACCCTAATTCTATACCCCTAACAAAGTCTTGGTTCTGACCCTAATTCTATACCCCTAACAAAGTCTTGGTTCTGACCCTAATTCTATACCCCTAACAAAGTCTTGGTTCTGACCCTAATTCTATACCCCTAACAAAGTCTTGGTTCTGACCCTAATTCTATACCCCTAACAAAGTCTTGGTTCTGACCCTAATTCTATACCCCTAACAAAGTCTTGGTTCTGACCCTAATTCTATACCCCTAACAAAGTCTTGGTTCTGACCCTAATTCTATACCCCTAACAAAGTCTTGGTTCTGACCCTAATTCTATACCCCTAACAAAGTCTTGGTTCTGACCCTAATTCTATACCCCTAACAAAGTCTTGGTTCTGACCCTAATTCTATACCCCTAACAAAGTCTTGGTTCTGACCCTAATTCTATACCCCTAACAAAGTCTTGGTTCTGACCCTAATTCTATACCCCTAACAAAGTCTTGGTTCTGACCCTAATTCTATACCCCTAACAAAGTCTTGGTTCTGACCCTAATTCTATACCCCTAACAAAGTCTTGGTTCTGACCCTAATTCTATACCCCTAACAAAGTCTTGGTTCTGTTCTGACCCTAATTCTATACCCCTAACAAAGTCTTGGTTCTGACCCTAATTCTATACCCCTAACAAAGTCTTGGTTCTGACCCTAATTCTATACCCCTAACAAAGTCTTGGTTCTGACCTTAATTCTATACCCCTAACAAAGTCTTGGTTCTGACCCTAATTCTATACCCCTAACAAAGTCTTGGTTCTGACCCTAATTCTATACCCCTAACAAAGTCTTGGTTCTGACCCTAATTCTAAACCACTAACAAATCCTTGGTTCTGACCAAATTCTATACCCTTGACAAAGAATGGTACTGACAAATTATGTTGGAATCAGTATCCTGGATCCTACATATTATGTTGAAATCAGTATCCTGGATCCTACATATTATGTTGAAATCAGTATCCTGGATCCTACATATTATGTTGAAATCAGTATCTTGCATCCTACATATTATGTTGAAATCAGTATCCTGGATCCTACATATTATGTTGAAATCAGTATCTTGGATCCTACATATTATGTTGAAATCAGTATCCTGGATCCTACATATTATGTTGAAATCAGTATCCTGGATCCTACATATTATGTTGAAATCAGTATCCTGGATCCTAAATATTATGTTGAAATCAGTATCCTGGATCCTAAATATTAGGAGAGGAATCAGTATCCTGGATCCTACATATTATGTTGAAATCAGTATCCTGGATCCTACATATTATGTTAAAATCAGTATCCTGGATCCTACATATTATGTTGAAATCAGTATCCTGGATCCTACATATTATGTTGAAATCAGTATCCTGGATCCTACATATTATGAGAGGAATCAGTATCCTGGATCCTACATATCATGTTGTAATCAGTATCTTGGATCCTACATATTATGTTGAAATCAGTATCCTGGATCCTACATATTATGTTGAAATCAGTATCCTGGATCCTACATATCATGAGAGGAATTAGTATCCTGGATCCTAAATATTATGTTGAAATCAGTATCCTGGATCCTAAATATTATGTTGAAATCAGTATCCTGGATCCTACATATTATGTTGAAATCAGTATCCTGGATCCTACATATTATGTTGAAATCAGTATCCTGGATCCTACATATCATGAGAGGAATTAGTATCCTGGATCCTACATATTATATTGAAATCAGTATCCTGGATCCTACATATTATATTGAAATCAGTATCCTGGATCCTAAATATTATGTTGAAATCAGTATCCTTAATCCTACATATTATGAGAGAAATCAGTATCCTGGATCCTATATATTATGTTGAAATCAGTATCCTGAATCCTACATATCTCTACTATCAATTTCTAACATGGAAACCTATACACATGCCCCACTGAGCTACCTTGTGAAAATAATGCAGTCAAACCTTCTCTTACCAGGAAAAATTTATTGTGTGTGAAGCTAAATCACCAAAAGACTGCTATTGCCTACCTCCAAACATTTCCACAAATTGTGAGCCTGCCAAAGCAAAGAAGGGGACTCCTGCTTCAGTAGCCACAGCTTTAGCCAGTAGTGTCTTTCCACATCCCGGGGGTCCAAGCAGCAGAACGCCCCTAGGATGTTTCCCTCCAAGTTTCTGTGTAGATGCAAATATTTCTCCATTAATTCATGCACAATTGTTGGAAGATTCCCCTTTAGCCACCTTAGAATACATTTGATCTTAAACATGCAATCACCAATCAAGAGCGTGTTTATGTGTAAAATTATACCCAGCAAGAAGTCCGCGTCTGGTAGGTTATAAGCCCTGAACACTAGTTAAATTTTATTGTCCATTGGCAATGAATCAGGGTTTTAAGATGCCAAACCCCTCATCCTCCCTAACTTTTAGCCCCGGGTCACCTGCTGGCTTGTTGCTGGTTACATACAGTACAAGAGTATCAGTGAAACTGACCTTACAGGACACAATATTTTAGTAAAGGGCAATATTTATATAATTAATGGGTTGCAGACCCTAACATTGGTACACCGCACATTCTCTAAGTATAACCAATTATATACAAAGTTTCATGATCATAGGTGTAATGCAGGCAAAGCAATGATCCAGACACAAAATTTCAACAAAGGGCAGTAACTCTGCAATTTAGGAATTGAGGGTCCTGAATTTGGTAAATTGCACATTTTCTTAGTATGTCCTAGTTTAAATGCAAGCAAAGTTATGATCCAGACCTGAAATTTCAACACAGAGCAATAACTCTGTATTGAGGGATTGAGGGCCCTGGATTCAGTTTATTGCACATTCTCTTAATAGCCAATGTTACATTAAGTTTCATGATCCTAGTTGTAGTGCAAGCAAAGCTATGCTCGTGACACGAAATTTTAATGAAGGGCAGTAACTCTGTAATTAAGGGGTTGAGGGCCCTGAATTTGGTTTATTGCACGTTCCCTTAGTATGGCCAATGTTACACTAAGTTTCATGATCCTTGCATAAATGTAGGCAAAATCATGCTCCGGATACAAAAGGACAGACTGAAAGATGGACTGATGGACGTACATACAAGGTCTGCGACTACATGCTCCCTCAAAATTTTCAGGGAGCATAAAACCATGATTCTAAATAATATTGAATATTCAAATTTAAATAAGGATAATGCTTTTCTCTGTATGCAATCTTTCAATTTGCTTTGTTTGAAAATTGTTAAACCATTTTATATTGTTTTGCACATAAGCTAATTGGTGATAGGAAACACCATCAGATTTTTTTAATGAATCAGCATAAGTTGTAAAAGGATTTCAGGGTTTACTTCTATTTACCGTCACAGTCTCCGAACTTTTCAGGTAGTCAACAAACTCCATTACTTCACACTTGGCCTCCCTTAATCCAGCCACTTCTTTAAAGGTCACGCCATTTCCCTGTTTAGACAAAATGTCTCCCCGAATGTAGCCAGCATTTGCCTAATGAAAGAGAAAATCAATTTTTAAAACAAGACACTCAGTGGGCCTGAATCAGTCATACGTTCTGCAGCTATCTGTTTGTTAAATCTATTTCTGCAAAACTAAAAAGCCCATTGACAAATTTTAACTTTGTGACCTTGAAAATAAGTTAATGAGAAGAAGTTGTTTGAAGTTATCAAGACCTTTTGAAAGTGGGTTAATGTCACATCACCAGAACACTGATGTTCATCAGTGAGACAATACCCTTTACAGGGAAAAGTGGTAAAAATGGAAATCTGTCAGCTAACCATCCAAAGGGTTAATGTAAAATGGAAAAAAAATTGTAGCCTAAATTCCAGCATGCTACAGGTCTAATATTAAATACCTGCATTTTTTGGTTACTGAGAACTTTATTGAAGAATTTTAAGACATTTGAACCTTGTGACCTTGAAAGTGGATCAAGGTAATTCATTAAGATAAAACCAATAGCTTTTTATCTCAACATCTTACAGACAAAATTCCACAAACCTTAGTTTTGTTTATTTAGAAGAGTTGTTTTAAGATTTCAAAACAAAAAGTGAAAGTGGATCAAGGTCATTCATATGAGTACACTTACTAGCCCTTCATTCTGTTCAGCATGCTACAGGCCAAATATCACTGCCTTTTGGTGATCAATAATAAGTTGTTTAAAGGGATAAGTTTATGCCAAATGAAAGCATGTTAGAGGCTGTGCCATGGCCTAAGTTAAAATCACAGCATGGAATGTGATGATAGAATAGACAGCATTATACTTAGGATTTTCTTGTGATGGGCAAGTCATATTTTCTTAATCTTCGCTCTGATTCCAATTCTATAAAAAGACATCTTACCCGATCTCCCAGGAACATTTCCATCATAGATTTGCTTTCCCTCTTTGGTTCACGCGGTGTTTCCTTGGCTTGTTTAGGTTCATGTGGTGTTTCCTTGGCTTGTTTTGGTATGTCTCTACCTTGATTGGCATCAGAAGACATTTTTGAAATATTTCTACGTTGAATTGGTAAGACAACAGGTCCTTTTCTCCTTGTTAATGAATATATCATTAATACACCACTCATTAGAAATCCAACGTCAACACTAAAACACAAAACAATTATTCTTCAAAGAAAACAATAAATAATTTGACAAACATACTGACAACTTTGTATCGTGTATAGTTTCCTTAAAACATTAAACTAGAACTATTGTCCTGAAGCCTTCATTATGTTTCCACAGTAAAGGTTTGGGAAACACATGGTATGTCAAATAATGGGCTCTAATAGTCTTACCATTCATGAAAAAGAATCAAAAAACAGAACTGATAAGCTAGTTGTTGTCATTACGCAACAAAAGTATCACAGCGCAGAAAAACAAAATACACCTGTCCCATGTCAAAGAAATATTCAGGATTCAATGTTATATGATGTTAATTTTTTTTAAAAATACCCAGTTTACCAAAAATAAGTATTTCATGTTGAAAACTGAAAGAAATCTCTCTGGAAAAGATTAAAAAGCTGAAAATACCAAAGAGCAATACCTTTTAGAAACATTGTTGAATAAAAATAGATGGGAAAACATCATTTGATGTAATGGTTATGAAGCCATACAAAATCAAAATGCTAAAAAGAAACAAAGGGCAATAATTCCTTTAAAAATTGTTCAATGAAACTACAGTGTGTGAACACATCACTTCATGTCATGGTGATTAGAGCCTACCAAGATTGAAAGAAATTGGTTGAAAACTGAGAGATGATCTTTAGACAAGATTAACATTATGAAAAAACAAAGGGCAGTAACTCTTCCAAATACAATCAATCAAACTGCTGTTCAGGAAAACACAACTACATGTTATGATGGTTAAGCCTTTAAAGTTAGAAAGAAATTGGTACAAAACTGAGAAAAGAGATCTCTGAACAAGATGAACATTATGAAAAAACAAAGGGCAGTAACTCTTCCAAATATAGCCAAACTGCCACTCAGGACAACATGATATAGCCAAACTGCCACTCAGGACAACATGATATAGTCAAACTGCCACTCAGGACAACATGATATAGCCAAACTGCCACATGATATAGCCAAACTGCCTCTCAGGACAACATGACATAGCCAAACTGCCACTCAGGACAACATGATATAGCCAAACTGCCACTCAGGACAACATGATATAGCCAAACTGCCACTCAGGACAACATGATATAGCCAAACTGCCACTCAGGACAACATGATATAGCCAAACTGCCACTCAGGACAACATGATAAAACCTTTAAGTTTTTAGCAAATCAGTTATAGAAGGAGATCACAAGACAACTAAAAGTTTACAACAGAGATAGGATGTCCCAACAAAAAAAAGAAAACATATCTACACATGTTCTTCTACTTTGTATACAGTTTCATTGAAATTTATCCATATGTTTAGGAGCAGTTGTCTGGACAAGATTTACTAACAACATCCAGAAAGGATGATTTCAGTGTACCCTCCCCTCAAAGTCTTTGTTGTATAATTACAATTACATGTAATACATGAAGCAAAACAAAGAAGTTCCAGGAGAATTCTGTACAATAGACTTCTTTTCATCTAATTCTCCACCAAGATTACACTGGAATATTGAACAGGCAAATCTGCGAAAGAAGGACATGACATAACACTGCACTTCAAATGAAGTTAACTTTGTTTTCTAGTTCTGATAAATGAAGAACGCTGATCGGAGACTAACCAAAGAACAATGACAGCTTCTATTTTATAAGAAATGTAAATCTCACCAAAAGTTATTCATTTAGATTAAAAAAATATAAATCCTATGAATTCATATACATTCATATATCTCGTGACACTTACAATCTCATGTCAGACATTATTGGCTGCAAACGTTCTGAAGGATGAATATTCAATTTTTCATATACTGTCTGAAGATTTCGTAGAAAGACATTCATGTTCTTTATCTGATAGCGTTGAACCTGAAAGGAAATAACTTTACTATATTAGAATATAACTAGCGAAGACTATGGTGTAAATTGATCAGTAAGATAATACTTTGGCTTACAACTGTTCACATCCACATCAAGATCACACAGCCAAAGACATTTAAAAATCTAATGGAGTTAATATAGCATCAAACATTTCAGGAATTCTTCTAGGTTTTATTCAAATTCTATAGCATTATTTTCATATTCACACAACTCTACAAATGAACTTTTCAGAGTTGAAAAACAAGAAGAAAATGCATAGCAAATATTAACTTATATAAATACCAGGATATATGTGTATTATTCTTAATTTGACAGAACAGAAATCCAGTTTATTTACAAAAACACAAAAATTTGTCCAGTCAATTGAAGTCACATATCTCTCCAAAATATTTTTGATTATAAGTATCATTTGTTTTGGCCTCCAGTATGTAATTCATTCTGAACTTACAATTACTCCTCTGTAGCCTCGTGTAATTTATTCTGAAATTACAATTACTCCTCTGTAGCCTCATGTAATTTATTCTGAACTTATAATTACTCCTCTGTAGCGTCGTGTAATTTATTCTGAACTTACAATTACTCCTCTGTAGCCTCGTGCAATTTATTCTGAACTTACAATTACTCCTCTGTAGCCTCGTGCAATTTATTCTGAACTTACAATTACTCCTCTGTAGCGTCGTGTAATTTATTCTGAACTTACAATTACTCCTCTGTAGCCTCGTGCAATTTATTCTGAACTTACAATTACTCCTCTGTAGCCTCGTGCAATTTATTCTGAACTTACAATTACTCCTCTGTAGCCTCGTGCAATTTATTCTGAACTTACAATTACTCCTCTGTAGCCTCGTGCAATTTATTCTGAACTTACAATTACTCCTCTGTAGCCTCGTGCAATTTATTCTGAACTTACAATTACTCCTCTGTAGCCTCGTGCAATTTATTCTGAACTTACAATTACTCCTCTGTAGCCTCGTGTAATTTAGATGCAAATAAAATCCGATGTAAAACTGTAACCTTTTAGCTTTACAGATCATTTCAGTTCATTCTCAGTTAGTCTGTAAATTTACCTAATATCACCTTGCATGAACAGCATATTTTACACTTAATTTTATGACTTTCACACAAAGTTTCTAAAATATTAACAGAAACATTCACATTTATGACATTAGATACAAAAAATATGTTATGACTTGAATTTGTTATGTGAGAAAATAAAATGATTATATGAAAATGTATTTACTTTATGTATTGTATAATGTAACTTGTAAAAGAAACTTTTCTGAACTTTCACCTCACCTGAAATAACGACCTCATATTTAACATTAAGTCTCGTCTGCATAGAAAAGCTTAATGCAGTGAGAAGACACCATTATTTTATGTGGTTTTAGCTTGACTGTGTGTTCGTAATGGAGGATTGCCTCAATAGGTACAGAAAGCTGATATGTCAGATATTACAACTGGTCAAGTAAGATTTCAGACATTCCAGTTTACATCATTTTATCTTATATCTAACAGTCACTTCCAGTCAGACCAATGCTACAGTATACACAATAATAACTTGGCAGGATTTGGATATTTATTATTTAATAAAGAAGAAAAAATTCCCCATCACTTCATTTGGATTAGTATCAAGAAGTGACTGTCTTGAAAAAAACCCTGGTTTTTGGTTAAGTTCCTTAACCATGAATTCTTGCTTTATAATTTAAAACCATGAATTCTTACTTTATAATTTAAAAGAAGAAATGATATGGTTTACATACCTGTCCATTCGAATTTAAAAATCTTGCAGTTGCAGTTCTGTGATACTTGCTAATATTGATAGTTTTCACCTGAAAATTCAACAAAATCTATAATGTATGCATTATTTCATTGGCCAAAAAACAAACAAATTACTCATAATATAAATTCTTTTCAAAAGATGGGAAGCAAGGTTGGGCCAATCTCAAACAAAATCATTGATGATCTTATTTTTTTGCAGGGAGACACATTAAATGTTCAATGCATATTGTACCCTTTTCAAAACAAGATTTTGCTCACTGGAAGTTTTGAGAACAAAGTGGATCTTGTAAGTTGAACATTTCAGTGATAAAAGTTCTTACAGAAATAATATTAGATAGAAAATCACATCATTTTCTGATTTCTGCTATTTACTTAAGTATCAGGTCTTCAGTAAAAAAAAAAAAGCAAAACAAATAAAATTGCTTACAATCCTTTAATTTACAATTGCTCAACATTTCACATCAAAGAGATTATAAAGTATCTCAAAATTTCCATTTACAAGAACAGAATCATAGTTCATGTTCAGAAAATTCCTGATCTTACCCCGTCAGGGCCTGATTACAGCACCCAAACTATATACATGTAATGCATTGTTATCTAAATCAGCTTATACTAGACCACTTTTCTGATTTTGATCCAATCTATTATTTTACATTTGACCATAAGTAAGGGACCATCAACTTCTATTAGCAATAACAAACTATAGTTATTTTAAAGAATTGTCAGTATATGTCAGTGAATGCTGTGATTACAGTAACATGAATGTACCTCATTGTTCATCAGGATGTCCGTTATTTCTTCTACTGTTTCTAATACAGGCAGATCAGAAATATAGGTGTAAATTGCTAAACAAAATGAAGCAACTGATATAGCTCCAGAAAAAACAGCAGTGGAAAGAAGATCTGGAAAAAAAAAAAAAAAATAACATATTGTCATTCATAATATCACTTCTATGCAGTTTAAAGTTACAGTGTATTGATGATACTATATATCCCTAGTTACAGTGTATTGATAGATACTATATATCCCTAGTTACAGTGTATTGATAGATACTATATATCCCTAGTTACAGTGTATTGATAGATACTATATATCCCTAGTTACAGTGGATTGATATACTATATATCCCTAGTTACAGTGTATTGATATACTATATATCCCTAGTTACAGTGTATTGATAGATACTATATATCCCTAGTTACAGTGTATTGATAGATACTATATATCCCTAGTTACAGTGTATTGATATACTATATATCCCTAGTTACAGTGTATTGATAGATACTATATATCCCTAGTTACAGTGTATTATATATAGTTACAGTGTATATACTATATATCCCTAGTTACAGTGTATTGATAGATACTATATATCCCTAGTTACAGTGTATTGATAGATACTATATATCCCTAGTTACAGTGTATTGATATACTATATATCCCTAGTTACAGTGTATTGATAGATACTATATATCCCTAGTTACAGTGTATTGATAGATACTATATATCCCTAGTTACAGTGTATTGATAGATACTATGTATCCCTAGTTACAGTGTATTGATAGATACTATATATCCCTAGTTACAGTGTATTGATATACTATATATCCCTAGTTACAGTGTATTGATAAATACCATATATCCCTAGTTACAGTGTATTGATAGAACTATATATCCCTAGTTACAGTGTATTGATAGATATTGAGTTACAGTGTATTGATAGATACTATATATCCCTAGTTACAGTGTATTGATAGATACTATATATCCCTAGTTACAGTGTATTGATAGATACTATATATCCCTAGTTACAGTGTATACTATATATCCCTATACAGTGTATTGATATATATATTGATAGATACTATATATCCCTAGTTACAGTGTATTGATATACTATATATCCCTAGTTACAGTGTATTGATAGATACTATATATCCCTAGTTACAGTGTATTGATAGATACTATATATCCCTAGTTACAGTGTATTGATAGATACTATATATCCCTAGTTACAGTGTATTGATAGATACTATATATCCCTAGTTACAGTGTATTGATAGATACTATATATCCCTAGATATACTATATATTACAGTGTATTGATAGATACTATATATCCCTAGTTACAGTGTATTGATAGCTAATATATATCCCCAGTTACAGTGTATTGATAGATACTATGTATCCCTAGTTACAGTGTATTGATAGATACTATATATCCCTAGTTACAGTGTATTGATAGATACTATATATCCCTAGTTACAGTGTATTGATAGATACTATATCCCTAGTTACATTGTATTGATAGCTACTATATATCCCCAGTTACAGATACTATGTATACAGTGTATATACTATATATCCCTAGTTACAGTGTATTGATAGATACTATATATCCCTAGTTACAGTGTATTGATAGATACTATATATCCCTAGTTACAGTGGATTGATATACTATATATCCCTAGTTACAGTGTATTGATAGATACTATGTAACCCTAGTTACAGTGTATTGATATACTATATATCCCTAGTTACAGTGTATTGATAGATACTATATATCCCTAGTTACAGTGTATTGATAGATACTATGTATCCCTAGTTACAGTGTATTGATAGATACTATATATCCCTAGTTACAGTGTATTGATAGATACTATATATCCCTAGTTACAGTGTATTGATAGATACTATATATCCCTAGTTACAGTGTATTGATAGATACTATTTATCCCTAGTTACAGTGTATTGATAGATACTATATATCCCTAGTTACAGTGTATTGATATACTATATATCCCTAGTTACAGTGTATTGATAAATACCATATATCCCTAGTTACAGTGTATTGATAGATACTATATATCCCTAGTTACAGTGTATTGATAGATACTATATATCCCTAGTTATTGATAGATACTATAGTGTATTATAGATACTATATATCCCTAGTTACAGTGTATTGATATTGATACTATATATCCCTAGTTACAGTGTATTGATACAGTTACATTGTATTGATAGCTACTATATATCCCCAGTTACAGTGTATTGATAGATACTATGTAACCCTAGTTACAGTGTATTGATAGATACTATATATCCCTAGTTACAGTGTATTGATATACTATATATCCCTAGTTACAGTGTATTGATATACTATATATCCCTAGTTACAGTGTATTGATAGATACTATATATCCCTAGTTACAGTGTATTGATAGCTACTATATATCCCTATACAGTGTATTGACTATATATCCCTAGTTAGTATATAATATATCCCTAGTTACAGTGTATTGATATCCCTAGTTACAGTGTATTGATAGATACTATATATCCCTATACAGTGTATTGATAGATATATATCCCTAGTTACAGTGTATTGATAGATACTATATATCCCTAGTTACAGTGTATTGATAGCTACTATATATCCCCAGTTACAGTGTATTGATAGATACTATGTAACCCTAGTTACAGTGTATTGATAGATACTATATATCCCTAGTTACAGTGTATTGATAGATACTATATATCCCTAGTTACAGTGTATTGATAGATACTATATAGTTATTGATAGATACTATATATCCCTAGTTACAGTGTATTGATATACTATATATCCCTAGTTACAGTGTATTGATAGATACTATATATCCCTAGTTACAGTGTATTGATAGATACTATATATCCCTAGTTACAGATGATACTATATTGATAGATACTATATATCCCTAGTTACAGTGTATTGATAGATACTATATATCCCTAGTTACAGTGTATTGATAGATACTATGTAACCCTTGTTACAGTGTATTGATATACTATATATCCCTAGTTACAGTGTATTGATATACCATATATCCCTAGTTACAATGTATTGATATACTATATATCCCTAGTTACAGTGTATTGATATACTATATATCCCTAGTTACAGTGTATTGATAGATACTATATATCCCTAGTTTACAGTGTATTGATAGATACTATATATCCCTAGTTACAGTGTATTGATAGTTACATACTATATATCCCAATTATAGTGTATTGACAGAAATGTATTTTGATATACTATATATCCCTAGTTACAGTGTATTGATAGATACTATATATACCCTAGTTACAGTGTATTGATGAATTTGAATACAAATTTTTATTATATATCTAACTTAAAGTACAGGTATACCACACTTGTTTCACATGTGCAAATCATCATCTTCAAGTCAGTGTATATAATTCATGAACGATGTGTGAAATGGGAAAATATATTCAAGATGCTATCAAGTGCTGGCTTTGTATATATGTAGATAAGTAAAGCTGTAGCATCAAAAACATTGATACAAATGTAATTTGTCTCATTCAATGATGTATGTAGAGAACATACGTTTTTAGATGTTAAATGGTATAATAAAAAAAAACACAAAAAATAAAAATAACAATACTTGTTTGAGTTTGTATCCTGTTAACTTTCATCATTATATACCCGAAAGTTTTACAAACACTTGTCACTGAATAATAAATATATTATAACCACTTATGGCTTTCTTGTCATTTTAACACTTAAGATCAATTCTTATATCATAGGAACTCTGAGCAAACTTCAGAAATAACTAGAGAAGTGACTTAGGTATCAAGTCCTGCTGGTCTTGCTAAAAGAATGAAAACAGAAAACATGAAAAAAAAATGAAATAAAAAGTCAAAATTGGTTTAGAGAAAAATAGTAACTGAGGATTGAATACTGTTTTGTTTTTAGTTTTACTGTTATTTTTCCTCCAACAGCCAGGGTTGTTTAAGGGTGCTACAGGTTTGGTTGGTGGCAGAAAGATGGAGTCCTTAGCGATAAACCATCCACTTGCACTGGGTACATGAGGATCAACTACCCCACATAGCCTTGAACTCAGAGTCCAGAGGTGAAGGGCTATTGATGCCAACAAATACCAGATTAGAACACCTTGTGCAAAAACAGTACATAAAGTGTATAAAAGGGATCAGTTTATTACAAGATGTACAGGTAAACAGTTTTTTTACCTGTGAACACCCGAAGAAGGTAAAATATCTTAAGCTATTTCCCTTCTTTTATATTTATGTATAGTGTTAAAAGTGTATGTATTGTGCACATAAATCAACTAATTATACAAACAAGAGGCCCAGAGGGCCTGTATCACTCACCTGGATCTTTATGACCAACAGTTCCATATCTCTGCAAATGTTCCACAGTAGTTGCTTACAGCAGTATGACTATTTTTTCACACACTATGTGTGCACCATTAAGGGAACCTTTTGGCCAAATATTATGATCCTTGGCCTTTAGGTTAAGCAGAAGTTGTTCAAAGGTTTAACACATTTGACTTCTGTATGTGACCTTAAATATGGGTCAAGATTATTTCTGTTCTCAAATATTACCGGGCATCATTGAGAACCTATTTTAGAATAATATCACTATCCTAGATGTTTTGGATAATCAGAAAATATCATCTAAAGGCTTAACACATTTGACCTCTGTGACCTTGACTATGGGTCAAGGTCATTTCTTTTTGTAAACTTTCTTGGACTTCATAAAAGGAACATACTGGCCAAATGTAATGATTCTAGGCTTTTCGATATTTCAGAAGAAATTGTTTACACATTTTGACACATTTGACACCTGTGACCTTGAAGATTGGTCAAGGCCATTTATTTTAGCAAATTTTGTAGGACACCATAAGAGGAACATAGCCTAATTTAAAGATTCTAGGCCTTCCGGTATTAGGGGTGAAGTCGTTTAAAGGTTTAACACATTTGACCTCTGTGACCTTGAATATGGGTCAAAGTCAATTCTTTTCACAAACTTTGTGAAGCTTCATCAAAGCAACCTTCTAGCCCAATATAATGATTTTAGGCCTTCCGGTATTTTACAAGAAGTCGTTTGAAAGTTTTAACACATTTCAAATCTGTGACCTGGAATATGGGACAAGGTTATTTCTTTTCACAAAATTTGTAAAGATTCATCAAAGGAACCTTCCAGCCAAATATAATGATTCTAGGCCTTTCAGTATTTTGGAAGAAGTCGTTTCAACGGTTTAACACATTTGACCTCTGTGACCTTGAATATGGGTCAAGGTTATTTTTTTTCACAAACTTTGTTGGGCTTCATCAAAGGAAAATTCCAGCCATATGTAATGATTCTATGCCTTCCAGTATTTTGAAAGAAGTTGTTTAAATGTTTTAACACATTTGACCTCTGTGACCTTGACTATGGGTCAAGGTCATTTCTTTTTGCAATCTTTGTTGGGCTTCATCACAGGAACCTTCCAACCAAATATGATAACTCTACGCCTTTTGGTATTTCAGAAGAAGTTGTTTAAATGAAAAGTTGACAGACACAAGACGGACAGACAACGGACGGACGACGGATGCTACGCTATGGCATAAGCTCACTTGGCCCTTTGGGCCAGGTGAGCTAAACGATAAGGATCTTTGGTCCATTACATGGTGAATAGGTTGAGTTCGTGATGTGACCTCACCAATATGAGATATACATCAGGTAATTGCAAAATTCAGCAAGGTCTAAGATCACTTTTTCTCACTCCAATGATTTTCTCTAAATAAACGTCTGTGTTAGTAATGTTTATACCCATAATACATCATAATAATGTCCTAAGATGGCAATCCCATAGTCTCTCCATAGGGTAAGGTAAGGTGATCTCGTCCCAGTAAAAATGTGAGCACACCTGTCCAGGGTAAGAGAAATGTACATGCATTCTGATGAAACCAAAATGTAGATAAACAGACAACAATATCAACAGACAATCCCCATATACATCCTATTATACTGATGTTATATAATAATGATGTCACTTTACAAATGATTGTGTGAGAAATCTAATCAGAAATCAAGATTTACCTCCAATCTCTGTCCTAGAAACAGTCTTCAGGAGACACTGCTTATGAAGGACGAAAGGATTCTGTAGTCCATGTTTGGGATTACAAGTCTGGAAAAAAAACTGTAATATAACATATATAACACACTTTCCTCAATGAAAAAATTTGTTTAAAATATTCATTTTGTCCAATATATGATATCCATGCTATCAGAACAATAGAAATCTGATAAATTGCTGCAGGTAATCATGGCCTTGAACTAATGAACAGTATAAATGTCATGTGGTACACGAGAAAATAGAGGTCCTTATAATAATCATAAATGTACGTCACAGAATTGTGAGAACAGGTACATTTGTACCAAACTACAATTGGTGGAAATTAAGCTACCAGTTGAATGAGCGCTAGGTTTAATCAAAAGCTAATGGTATAGAATGAGAACTATGTTCATCAAAAGCATAAATTATAAAAACTGCAAAACTATGGTATTAACTGTCTATAAGAAGCTTAGCTCCTTCCACTGTAATCAGGACATGAAAGTAGTTGTTGCTGGAGTGCATTAATTCCTCTCACCAGTACCATCTGGAGTTCCCTAAGTGTCCTCAGACCTTTATTGGTTCTTTGTTATATAAATGACTAACCTGGCACAAACATCACATGTCCTCCTCTTTGAAGATGCCTGCCTAATCTACCGATGATATCAAACCTGTGAGACACACAAACCAACTCCAGAATGACCTCTACCATATTGAAGGTTGAAAAATAGACTAGGGCATAATGTTCAACCCAAGGAGAAATTTCAGTTATTTACAATGACAATAAGAAACCTGACTTCTCCTCTAAGATTCTCAAGCAAACTAGTGAGTATCCCTACCTTAGGGTTCCCATCAATGAAAACTTCAAGTGGACCTCACACATTACAAAGGCTATTACAAAGGCTGTCACAAAGACCCATTGTTCCCTCTGCTAACTTACATGTAACCTGAAACACTGCACAAATTCCTGCTGATGGTCAGCCTACCTCTGTCTTGTGTCATTTGAGACCAATACAACCAATATCATACAAGACTGCATGCTTCATCACTGGTGACTATAGAAGCAGAGAGGAGGGTAGCATAACAAACATGTTGAAGGACCTTGGCATGACTGCATCATTAGATTGCATGCTGGCAAGTGTTATGTCTAATACTAGTCTTGAAAGAGGTTGGGGGATATAATCATCATTGTCCCATCAAACATCCCGACACCTAAATTGCAATGACGAAAAATACACCCAAATGTTCCAGCGTTTATTCCTACAGGAACACCATAGAAAAACATTCATATAACAACAATAGGAGATAAAAAGTCCCAGACACAAGACCAGAAGTATCTTAAGAAAGTCCCAGACACAAGACCAGAAGTATCTTAAGAAAGTCCCAGACACAAGACCAGAAGTATCTTAAGAAAGTCCCAGACACAAGACCAGAAGTACCTTAAGAAAGTCCCAGACACAAGACCAGAAGTATCTTAAGAAAGTCCCAGACACAAGACCAGAAGTATCTTAAGAAAGTCCCAGACACAAGACCAGAAGTACCTTAAGAAAGTTCCGGACACAAGACCAGAAGTATCTTAAGAAAGTCCCAGACACAAGACCAGAAGTATCTTACGAAAGTTCCGGACACAAGACCAGAAGTATCTTAAGAAAGTCCCAGACACAAGACCAGAAGTATCTTACGAAAGTTCCGGACACAAGACCAGAAGTATCTTAAGAACTCCTTCTCCTCCTTCACCGCTATCACCTGGACCCTACTGGACTAGAAACCCATCAATGGTGCCACAATTCTGACCTTCAAGGCTTCAATCAGTGGCCTTCAGCATCAGTTCGCAAAACACCATACCCCAAATGTATTACATGTGAGTAAGGAACCCTGCATTGTACATATACAGATAAAGAAGTTAACAGGAGAATGACAGCTACAAGTAGATAGGTTTAATCAAACACAAACATTAGACTGACAGCTAACTAGGTTAATCAAAAGCTAAATTGGGAGAATGTGAGCTAGGTTTTATCAAAATTTAGCAGAATGTATTACAGACCTGCAATTTTGTTGAGTTGAACCACATCTGTATAATTTTGCTGTATCATGTCAACCATCCAGAAACCAAAAAAATCTGCGATTCCATGTACCGTAAAATATTATGAGCATATATTTCATTGGCATTTCTGTATATTTTGTCTTAAAGCATAATTTTTACATGTCAAACATCCTCCCAGTGATGATAAAATAACTCATCAACCCATCCTCAGATGCCAGTATTTTGTTGCAGTCTGTCAAGTGAATAACAAGAGATCCCAGAGGGATCTTGGCGCCCACCATTTGAGGATCTGTTTTCAGTTCTTGAAGATTTGTTTATTTTTGTTTGTTTGTTACAGGTGTTGTAAATGGTCATGAACTGGTCTTCATTGAATGTACTCAATGATGGCACAAGATATCTTTATTAAGCACCTATAAGCAAATATCATTTGAAAAAGATACCAAAGTATTATTAGATAGCAGTCAGTTACAAGTGGATAATGGACAATATGCTTGTGCTGTATTACTGTCGACATCCAAGATGGCTGCCTGTGGGCCATCTTGATTTCAAATCAGTCCAAAAAAGGTACAATGCACAACTAGGGACCAAGGGAAACCAATATCTATGAAATATCAGAAGGATCCATCCTGGACTTCCTCTGATATAGCAGTAACAAGATTTTACTCTCAAAATCCAAGATGGCTGCCTGTCAGCCATCTTGATTTCGGATCAGTCCAACAAGGTATAATGCACAACTTGGAACCAAAGGGAACCTGCATATGAAATTTGAGAAAGATCCATCCAGTACTTTCCAAGAAATAGCAGTAACAAACTTTTACTTCCAAAATCCAAGATGGCTGCCTGTCGGCCATCTTGAATTCGAATCAGTCCAAAAAAGGTACAATGCACAACTAGGGACCAAGGGGAAACTGCATATGAAATTTGAGAAAGATCCATCCAGTACTTTT